TATATAGCAAAAAAACTTGAAACTCGAAAGTGAAATCTAGTTCACGCCATATATAATCAGTGCTCTAATATCAGGGCTAATGCAGAGAAAAACGCTTGAATTCTATTTTCAAAACTGCCTCGTAGAGTGATTTTGCGAAGTGCTTATATGCAACAAATCCCTCAAGACAAAACCCAATGATTCGTAACTTGTAGTATTTAATTTGAACAATTTCATATGAACGGAGGGGCTGTCTCAGATATGTCTCATCTGAAAATCATATTATATACGAGCTGTAAATTAGCTTTGGTTTAGTTTTGCTTATTACAGTTAAAGTTGTTTTCGTGCGGTGATTTTTTATGCGTTTTTATTTGTAAGATTTGTTTTATGTAATTTACTTTGTTTGTGAGAATTATTTCTTGCAACTCTTCTGCTTTAATTTGCCAGAATTCGAAGATAGATTATTTACTTCTCCTGAATATTTGTAGAGATGCAAGAGGATAGCACAAATTTGCGCCTCTTTTACTACGACAAAACGTATTGAATCACATACATTTTGAAAATGTCTTCAAAGATAAAAATGGGATATTAGAATTTTTTTAATTGTTCCATGCGCATATAATAAATTTTGTTTAACATGTTGTGAAAACCTCTTATCTTATAGCTCTTTATGGAGTTTCTGAAACAATTTTTTTCTTTAATTGCGGTCTTCTTCCTACTATTCCTATTTACAACGAAAAAGCAAGTTTGCCTATAATTAATAATAATAATTATTAGTTACAGCATAATCACACAATAATAATCAGACTATAAAGCCTTCTTCGACGTGAACGTAAGCAAGAAGATAACTCCCTTTTGAATTGTAAACAATTTCGTATGTTTTTTCCATACCTCCTTTTGAATTGTAAAAAATTTCGTATATTTTTTCCTTTTGAATTCATATGTTTTCGTATATTTTTTCCACACCTCCTTTTGAATTCACATGTTTTTCAATCGAATTTCCTTACCTCCTTTTGAGTTCTAAACAAGATAAGGATGTGATTTACAGATTATGAAAGAGGCCCTTTAAACATAACAACGATCTTTTCGATGTTGTTCTAACAATCTTTTCGATATTGAGCGGTCACCGGTTCCAAAAGTTTACTTGTGAGCAGACAGCATTAAACTCATCGCTCATTCAAACTGGAATGAATTGAATTCCTTCGTATTGTTAAACACATTGAACGTTAAATATCCTGTTATTTGTGTGGAGTTAAGCTGGTAAAGAAAAATTAGATCTCTGACATTAAGGTACTTTGGAAGGTCAGAATCGAGTATCTTTAGGGAAACTAAAAGGATTACTATATTTCACCATATCCTTGTTTGTTGAAGCAATATATGGAACCCGTATTTTCGACCTGCAATTTATTGTTCTAAACATAATCGAACTTGCCATATATTTAAGCATCTAAAGTAAGGTGTAGCACGATAAGACATTTATTAAACTTTAAACTGGCGAAAGTTGTAACATAATATGAAGTTTGCCTTAAATTTCTCAAAGCATTGTCGCTAAGTTGACACGTTCACTACCGCTAAAGCGAGAGTTGGGTTTGAAACCAGAGTGAGGGACCACACTAGCAAAATCATTGTCCTCCTCTTTTATATTAACACGCGGTAGAGACTGAAGGGAGAAAACCGAACATTTTTTCAGAAATTTCTTAAAAAGCTGTAACAATTACTTTTCACAGTATTTCATGCGGTGAAGAGGAGAGCATAAAAACGCAATCTTAGAAAATATGACAATGCCTTACAAAATCTTGAGAAAATTCTTTCCAAACAAAGCAACTAATTAAATTGCACTTAAAAACATTTCCAAAAAGTATAATTTCTCATTTCCATCGTCAAAAATATTTTCAAAGTGTACGTTTTGCGATGTGACTTGTAGTACAAAGGCGCATATTTTTCCTATATCTTCCATCTCTATCCATATTCACACACTGCATAGAGTGTGTGAAGTTTGCACAAATCAAATCGCCCAACCTATTATAAAAATAAAAGCAATAAAAGCATCCAAAACCCAAATAAAAAAAAATACACCCGGGAATAACTTTCATTCATTTATTCGCTGAACCAGATCCTCCACAAGTCCACGCTGGCGTAAGAAATAGTTTTGTGTGTTCCCAGCATATAAATGAAATACAATTGTGGCAACACGTAACAAAGTCATTTATGAAACTGCTAAACAGAAACTGCTAAAAATAAATTTCAAAGTTCTGCAATAATAAATTATGGCGAACATTATCGAAGAATAAAGTCGACTCATGTGCCGATTAATATTACGCCCCTTATATATATGCTTACGCGAAACTTCCTAATTGGCCGCATTAGGTCAAACTTTGTAATTTTTGTATGTCTCATTGCACGAAGTGTTATAATTCTTTTAACATTAGATAAAACGAAGGTCGCTTGGAAAGATTAACTTTGCACACTTTTATTAGTAACTAATGTTTAAATAACGCAGACAGAAGAAGCCAAATCTTAACAGTTGTGTTTCGATTGACGTCAAATCCCTATAACTATAAGGTACTCATTTGTGAATATTACGATTCATAACTATATTCATAGTAAGGCATATCATGGTCTCATGATCTGATATCCCACCACGAGGGAATTGGCCGTAAAGTATATTTAAGGCGACGTATTATATGTTTGATATAATTCGACAAAATGTAAGTTATCTATTTTTTAAGTCTGTTGTCAATTTTCCTTTTTGTAACAGTAACTAAAGAGGCTCCCATTGTGTCTTAATAAAATTACAAAAAAAAAATGGGAAAAGGGTGGAATTTGAATAATGATTCTACCTTAGATACTACTTTATATTTGGGCAATACTATTATAATGAGATCATGGCATTACACATGTTCTGGACAAATGTTGTTCACACTGTAAAAGATATCAAAAAAGGATATTACGGAAAACTTAATAAAGCATTTTGCAAACTACGACAATATTATACAACGGATTTGTATAAAAACTGTTTGTACTTGAAAGACAAAAAATAACAAAAAATTAAAGGGTTAAATGTTAACATAATTTTTAACATTTGTGAACGCAGTAGAGTATCAACCATTGGGAATGAAATTATATTGTGTATGTTATTGCATATATAATCTTTCTAGGTCTTATATACACGGCAGGTTATTGTGGTTTTACAAAGTCATGAAAAACCTCAAATGTTTATGTACGTGTATATAGCGGGTTATTTTTTATTTTTTTATAAATATGTTAATGATGTGTTCCAATTCCATGTTTTAATACAGGGGTGCCTTTAACACTTGTGTTTCGAGAGAAAATTCCAATTTCCCTTTTTAAGTGTGGTGTATAGAACATTAAGATGTAAAAACAGGTTGTTGGTGGTAGGTTTGTGAGTTTCTTAGTTTCTATTCGTCTTTTTGCTCTTTTCCTACTTGGCACTTGTGCAACCTATAGTCGCAGTAGAATTCTCCCGTCACAGAACCTCGAGTACAATCAATTTCATTCGTACTGATCATTCGTAACTGGATGGTTGGCTGACGCGTGTTTGAAAATAAGCAAAATCAAAACAAAACAAGACTCCTCTCAAATAATTTCTGCGTTCCCTTAATTACAGCAGTCATCTCTTTAAAATAAAATTTTGAGAGATGAATTAAGATCCTACAAACACACTCGAAAAAACACAACGCGTATAGGAGATAGGATGAGATGTTTCATATATTGTGTTCGCAAGTGTTGATAAAATGTGAAAAGCTAATTTCATTGAGTTTTATTTAATTACGAAAAAGCAACAAATTTAATTATTTCACTTAAATCGGATGTCGCGTATAAAAATACTTATTTTAATGTTATACAAATGCAAAGCGCAAAAATATAAATAAACAAAAATTTCTTTATTTAAAAGGCAAAGTAAAAAAAGCACTTAAATAAAAAGATGACGGACGATACGTTACAAACGTTACCGTTAGATACTAATATCGACGCCCATATTATAACCTTATTCGAGCGTCTTGAGACCATGCGTCGAGATCAACAAACTAACGCTTTTAATAGCCGTTTGTCTAGTACACTACAGCCGAAGAAAAACATGCAAGCCGAAATCAGAACGTTGGAATTTTGGAGGTACAGAAAATTGTGTCATTTTGTTATTGCTTTTGTTGTATGTAATTGTCAAGTAAAGAGAGAGAACACAAGCAAAGTTAAAACCAAATTAATGTCAGCAGGCTACACCAAGTGCCCCTTTGCTTTGTTTATATTTTAAAAATGTTTCCACCCTAAGCTTGGTTAAAAAATGCAGCTGCTCTTATATTTGTAATCTTTTATTATATTTTATCATCATATGTCGTTGTTTATATAATTTTTTAGCCCCTCTATAAATTCTAATAAAATAACCCAACTTTATGCCAATTCTCACCTTGGCATCCCGGCGCATCTTTTTTATAATTTAAAATGGAAAAGAAACGACGTTGTCAGCGATTAGTGCAGATGTGTTGCAATTTGTAAAACAGACGATTTTGTCTCCATGCACCTTTAAATGAAGAAAACCATAATGACCGGAATGCAATAAGCTTCGAAGTGTTAATGTGGGCTATTCGATATTAAATACGACAATATTACGTTTGGAAATATTTGAAAAAATATAGAATAAAGTGATGTTTTACTTACCGCGAATTCAACATAACTTTGTATATATGTATATATATATTGTATATAAAATAATGTGAAGCTAAAAAAGAAGTAAAAGCAGTACAGTCACAAAGAAGGAGAAGCTGGGTAGTCTGATAGCAGAATTTTCACTTTTGATGGTAGAATTTCAATTCAAACTTCAAATTGCTTTACGTTTTTCATGCCAGAGTCTAATAAAAATTTCGATTTGATGAAATGCGTACGTTCTTCCCAATTAGCAGGAACTGGCTGTGAGACACTAACGGACAATTGAATAAGCTATCTAGTTCTTACATACATTCTTAGCTCCCTTTCAAGATTGGTGAAACATAAACAAATAATGTCCGCAACGCCCAGAAGCACTTTAGATAAACTCACTTTTTAGCATACCGATAGGTTCTTATTGGAAGTGATACGGATTACTGTCCGAAAGGTTCTATCTTGTCTGTCCGTCTTGCTTTCTTATATTCATTGCACAAGTCGCTATTTTTGAGATATTTCGGTGAAGTTTGGTACGCCGAACGCTATTGAAAGTAGTTTGAATCGCCACTTCACAGAGAACAATCTATTTCAAAAAGACGATATATCACTAATTGCATTGAGCGAAGTATTGTATTTGGTGTTGCTCTAACCCGACTCTAAGGGTGTCACGTGTATATATATGATAATTTGAAAATAAACACGTGCAACAATAATTTAACTTTTAAGTTCAGCTAATCATTTCTGTAAGTAAGCAAACCACATTTTCACATTTAAACGCGTAATAATAATAAGAAATTATGTTCACATCAAATACGTGAATGATTTCCACAACGATTTGTGAAATTTTGAACAGATATTCGTCGTGGGACAAATCTTGTTAACAAAGAAATTATACAATTCTCCGTTATTTCTGGTTTTATGGTTTGTGAGTAATCATAGGAAATATTGATCACTTTTTATACCCATCACTGTAAGATGGGGGCATACACATCTTGCTTTTTTCCATAATGTATGTAAAACCCAAAAAGATTCCCAATAAAGTATACATGGTTTTAATCACCGTGAAATTCTGAGTTGATTTAGCCATGCCGGTCTGTCTGAAACATTGGAAGTTTCTGCACGCAGTTTGGTATTGAAAATAGGTCACATTGGTCGGAGAAGAAGCGCGCGTTAGAACGTAAACTGAACGTTTTTTTTTTAACAATAATTTTTGCTCGTTACTCGGAAGTTATAAAAGTTAGAAGGCTGAAATATTCCGCGTTTACTTTACGAAGCATTCTACTCTTTACGTCCAAAAATGGGACCGATCGGCCATCCTCATACAAAGTTACAACTAATTAAATTTTACTTTCTTCACTTTTTTGAAGTTCTATGCTCATTTATCCCAAGGCAAACAAGACGGAATGTGTAAAGCTATTTTGTACACTCCTCAAATGGAGATATATTATCTCTATAAAAATGGGTTAACTTTTAAATGAATATGGTAGACGGCGCGATTAGTTATTTCTTAGTAATACCAGCGATATGGGTATCAAATAAAAGAACTTGGACAGTAGAATGCGAAAAGCATAGTGGTGGATATGCGAGATTGGGCCTCCGCCCGATATGTCTTTCTTAACTGGTTTTAATTTAAGTGGTTTGATCTGTTTTTCATACCTTCATGGCATGTTTCTCGCGTCATCCTGCCCTTATTACACTTTACTACATCACTTCAATTTAAATTCGATCCTCCAAACATATACTGCATATGTGTAAATTTGCAGAAAAATGTTTTGTTTCAAAAAAATGTTAAAAAAATTTTAAAACTTCTATTGACGTACATTTGCGATTTTCTTTGCGTTTATTTCCAGATCTGTTATAAGCGAATGTCTAGCATCATTTTTTTATGTGTTCATTGTGTGTGGAGCAGCAGCAGGAGCAGGGGTTGGTGCCAGCGTGTCCTCAGTTCTGTTGGCTACAGCTTTAGCGTCTGGCTTAGCTATGGGAACACTAACCCAATGTTTTCTACATATATCTGGTAAATAAAAAATATCAATGCAGTTTTAAGGTAAACAGTATTCTTGTTAAGAAGAAATTACCTTATATGAACAAATTTTTTGCATGGCTCTTATAAACTTACATTGATCATCAAAGGATAGCATAATAGAGTCGTTAAATGTATCAATGTTACAAGAATAAAAGTTGAAATATAATTTTTGACATCATCCTTTAGATGTTTAAAGATTCCCTACAATAACGATTCCAATACATTAACCTACCTAGTATCTATGACAAACTGAAGTAACCTCAGATTTTTACGGAGTATACCTGAAATTCTCTAATAATGTTTGTCAAAATCTGCTACAATTTTTTTCTTCGTTGTATATTCATCTTTCAGGAAAATGATTAGTCGTGCTTAAAATGCTAACTATCCTTGATAGAAAGGATATATTCAATCAACAGCTGCACCTAATGTGTATATATCTTTGGATTAATTCCATAAATTAAATTCGAAATAAATATAAAAATAATTTATATATAATACGGCTTACAATTTATTGGTATATGTTAATTAATTTCTTTATCCGGATTGAAAGATATACAAAAAGTGGTGCGTCAATTGCAGCCATCCATTAAGCTTTAAATCATATAATATATTCTTTAGTGAATTTTTTAGCTGAAAACCTCAATTAGTCATTTTTGCGTAATTGATTACAAAATGTAGAAGAGAGGCTTAAAAGTAAAATAAAAATTAGCAATATTTACAATTAAAAAGACAATATAACGAATGCTAAGAGTAATGTCTAGAGCATCATTCTAGGCTGTTTCAACGAAATTCGGACCTTTTATGCAAATTCCTACCGTAACATACCCATTAAAGACAGTTAGTAATCGTAATTAACGCTGTCCCCATGTGGTCAAACAATTTAGATTATTAATCTACTTGATCAGATGATTGGAAGCATTTGGGAATATTATTAAATAATATTAATATAATCAACAATTTATGCACATTTTTCATTTTCAGTGTTTCACTAAAATCGGACCACTTGTTTCTGGAAAATAGTGTCCACCAGCTTAAAAAATACTGTTCCGACAAAAACGCGTTTAAAATCTGACTTACTATGTTCGAGAGCAAGTCGGCCAGTAGTAGTAGGAATTGTAGTGACCCATTCTTGACTCGTTGTGAAATCAGATAAAAAAATGAAATAAACTTGAATTGTTTAAAATATTAAAACGCGCTTATTCGGTTAAGCAATAACATTCGTTAAATAATTGACGTAACTGCGTAGGAAGTAACATACCGTTACACTGATCATAATGTTCAATCCAATCCTACATCGGTACGAGGGGATAATTATAAGCGCATATTAAAATAAGGTGTGAAAATTAACTAAAACAATTTGGAAGCTCATGATTCAACTTGAGAAAAAATTGTACGTTTCGGAGAGTTTGCTTTACTAGCTGGAAAAATTTGGCAATGGATGCCATTGAGATCTTTGGTGCTTGGATTAAAGCAAATCACAAATTTAATTTTCAATCACTAATGTTAATTATGTTAGGAAGGATCCTCGTCCAAGTGTATCGAATATCTTTTATAAGTACCTTTCAACTTACAGTCATTTTCGTTTAATAAAAACCGTTGTCTAAGATCTTTACGATTTTGTGAATGCATGACTTGCAACTTTAATTTGTCAAAATAAAATCAAATAAGGAAAGTATATTTGTAATACATTCATGTACAACTTTAATCTTGATCTTACACAGTTAATTCAAAAACATCACTTTTATGTTCAAATATTTGATCGGGTAAAATTTTTGAACTGGGTAGGCTTATGTACCACTTTCAATCAAAAAAATAATATACGTCAATCAATGTCTGAGTTGTTGTGCATTTCATTTAAATATGCATATTTTACATGCTTTTCACTTTACAAATTTTTTTACAATTTACAATTTTGTATTCCTTTCACTCTTGTTCTTTCCTTTTTCTTTTTTAATTCAAACAGGTGCTCACATAAACCCAGCCGTTACATTAGCATCCTGCGTGATACGGACTATATCACCTATGCGGGCAACAATGTATATTACCGCACAATGCGGTGGCGGTATTGCTGGGGCAGCACTTCTTTATGGGTAAGTTGCAAAAACTCAATTGTCAACCCAGAGACTGAAGAAAAAATGAAAAAAAAATTTCCAAAAATTGTATAGAAAACATTGACCTCAAAAGCGAATGACGCTTTGTGCTAACAGAGAATACATGCACTTTTTTCTTCGGAAATCAAATTAAAAGAAGAGTGCAAAAAGTGTATATAACCTGACGTATGTAGAAGCAGACGATTAATAATCTTTCTAAACTATGCATGTGTGCATGAACGGAAGACTCTTAAAGCAATAAGAATGTAAAAAATACAATTTCTTTTTTGTTCTCTACCCAAAAGTAATTGCAGCTGTTCGTTTTTACTACTTTAATTTGAGTGGTATATATTTTAATGGCATAGCGTGTAGTCTTGTAAATTACTTATAGAAAACACTGTTACAAAATATGAACAGATAAAAGAGTAGAACTTAAGAGTTTTATACGACAATCGAAGATTAAAAATGCTCTTCCGTTCGCAGAGATCTTATAATATATATATATACATATATCTTTATAAATAAATATATAAAATATATTATGCAGAATCAAGCAGAAATACCAAAAGGAGATTACACTTTTACAAAAGCAATACGGGCATCTAAAGGCGGCAAACTTGTTAACTTGTAGAAACAGACTCAATCAGCTCCCATTCGATCGCCAATTTTCCTCGCTAAATTACTACAGCACAAACCAGTTACAGCAACCATTCATATTAGGTTGGGGAAAAAGAAATCCATTATTTTTTCGGTAGATGGCTGCACTGATAGATTTCTCGTAAAGTATCGATCAAACAATTTCAGATTTATGCTCGTTGGAAAGGTGACATTTCGCAGTAAAAAAATTCTTTTGCTGTTTTTTGTTTGGTGCATTCAGTTGTGAGCTATACCGTGTTGAAAATGGAAGTAAACAAAGAGAAAATTCGGTACATTTTATAGTTTTTCTTTGACAAAGGCACAAATGCAAGCCAGGCGGCTAAAATTGTGAATGGTGTTTATGGTTCCGGTACTGTAACAGCCAATTATGTGCAATTTTGGTTTCGTAGATTCCGTTCAGAAATTTTTGATGTTAAAGATGCACCTCGCACAGGTAGGCCGGTCGTCGAAAATGTCGATAAAATCGGAGAAATGATCGAAGTTGACCGGTATGTTAGCAGTCGTAACATCGCCCAGGAGCTAAAAATCGACCATAAAACTGTTTTAAACCATTTACACAAAGCTGGATTCAAAAAGAAGCTCGATGTTTGGGTGCCACACCAATTAACAGAAAAAAACATGATGGATCGAATTTCCATCTGGGAAGCCTTGGCCAAACGGAATGAGATAGACCCATTTCTTAAACGGATGGTGACTGGAGATGAGAAATGGATCACATACGATAACCCTGTGCGAAAACGATCGCGGTCAAAGAGCGGTGAAGCACCTCAAACGGCCAGGAAGGTTTTGCTATGCATTTGGTGGGACTGGAAGGGGATTATTTATTATGAGTTGCTTTCATATGGCCAAACGCTAAATTCTGATATCTACTGTCAACAACTGGACCGTTTGAAGATAGCGATTGACCAGAAACGGCCCGAATTGGCCAACAGGAGAGGTGTTGTGTTCCACCAGGACAACGCTACGCTACACACATCTACAGTGACTCGCCAGAAACTTCGGGAGCTTGGTTGGGAAGTTTTAATGCATCCGCCATACAGTCCGGACTTGGCACCAAGCGATTATCATCTTTTTCTTGCATTGCAAAATTTCTTTAATGATAAAAAATTGGAATCTAGAGGGGATTGTGAAAATCGACTAATAGAGTTTTTTGCAAATAGAGAGCAGGACTTCTATGAGAGAGGCATTTTGAAGTTACCTTTAAAATGGCAACAAATCATACAACAAAACGGTGCATATTTGACCCAAATCGGACAATCCGAAGCATGTTAAATAAAGTCCTGAAGTTCATATAAAAATAATGGATTTCTTTTTCCCCAAACTAATATTTACAAAAATAAAGCAAAAATGAGATAGAGAGTTAAGAAATGGAGATTTGTTTGCGAAATTTTATCATCTACAATTCGCTCTGTTTCAAGTTTTATATAAGAATATTATTTAAAATATTGTATATTAACTTTTTTAAGAAGAAGTTCGTTATGTATTAGTTATTCTTAAGGCATATAATCACCGTTGTATATTAGGAATTTTTGTCAATTCAACATAAAATAACGGTGGAAGTAAACCGACTATACTATATTCCCCTTTGTTGCACGTGAGGAAAAGCATCCAAAAGGGAAGTGAGACTTTAATTTGCTAAAATTTGTCTGTGATTCTCGCCACTAATGACGAAACTATAAACACATTTTATATAAAGTCACGTAATGTCTAAACCGAGAGATTGGCAGGAAAAGGGGACTCTAAATACCTCTCGTAATGTCAGTTTATCAGGTTATCGTTATATTTACACATATAAATTATTAATTTGCATTTGGACCATATGAATTCAATATTGTCAATGATTGCGTAAGGTTCTTTATAAACCACCTATGAATGGAAAAGCAATTCCTCTTCTCTGGTCATTCGAGAACTGAAATTGCTTTAGCGATCTGTTTGGTCTTTTTTCATCCCTACCTTAAGGGTTTTATTTTTCAATGTAATTGTATTTAAAATAAGTTATAATGAAAAGGTCAAAAAAAAATATTTTCTTTCTCTTGTTACTGTAAGATTTCATATTTTATTTAAGTTTTTACAGACAATAAGTTTCCCAAATTCTACTAATGTAATAACGAAAAACATAATTATTCAAGGGTTTCCGCTTTCGATTCTTTTTCAAAATTGAAAGAACTTCCAACAATTCATTGTTATTGTTAAAACGCTACGCACATTCGCACACTTCGTCTATTTTTCTGCTGCTTCTACAAAGAAGAATTCAGCTGTCTGCTAGTTTAAAAGAAAAAGAAAAAATGGCACAACATACTTCTGTATGATTGTTAAGATTTTTTGAATATTTTAGTTTTTCTTTTGTGTTCTAGGATTTTGTGTATATATCAAAACATGGAAGTAGGTACCCATATACCTACAAGCGGCTAAACAACCACCTGCATACACATCTATTTATTACTAACAAATATAGATATATTCAATACAACATAGTAAATTTATGTGTTTTATGTGTATCCTTCTTTTTTTCTTTCTTTCTTCCCTTCTCGTTTTATCGTTTATGGGTTATCTATGATTACTTTTACTTTACCTTCCGTCTACCTGCTTTTCAGACTATAGTGTCTTCATACAAAAATAAAATTGCTGTGAGCCATTTTTCTATTTCCTCATTTTAATAAATTTAATACATTTCATTTAAGATTTTATTCAACATCTGTTACAATTCGAGATTCAAATTTGTATTGATTATTTTGTTGTTATATTCTGCTGTACGTGTGAGTTTTCTTCTTTTGCTTAAAGTCACTGTACGCTGACCTTTTTGATTTCGTTTAAGATCCTCATCAGCTGCCTTTCCTTCAACGCAAGGGCTCTTTTTAGTGAAACAGATGTTGTTTTCACCTTATGTAGGTACAAGAATGGAAGTGTATTCGGCTTAGATCAAAAACTTTTTTTATCCACCTCTTAAAATACTTTTTTTATTTCTGTTCACTAGATGTACATTGTAGCTATAAAAAGTACGTTTACCTATGACGTGCAGCTTGGATTGTCTGTATACACTTGCACATATGGCAAAGCAAACAGTTACCAATATATATTGTTTCATGTAGTTAATATAGCTAAGAAATAGGCAATTGGAGAAGGGAACAGTAAATCCAAGCAAATTCGGGCAATAAAACGTGGCGAAAAGGACGACAGGCGAAGGAAGCATTAAATATTGGGAATAAGTGCACACTAGTTAAGCGACGACTTACAACTTCTTCCAGGCTGTCAATGTTTTACACGAACAGGAGACAACTGAATGATTGGCCAAGTTAACAAAAAAAAAAAAGTAAATAAAGCGACGAAAAAGACTGCATGAGCTGGTGAATGTTTGTAAACAATTACACGAAAGAATTCCAAATCAGCTACAATTTAAGTAAAGTAGCCGACGAAAGATCTACAAGGTTCTATCCTGAAATAATGTTGGAACAGGCCTGGAATGGATTTACTAGATTTGCTAGAGTTAACTTGGTCGTTCCACCTTCCAAACAAGAAAGTGAACTAAGCAGAATGTGCTTTAATGTATTGTGCATTCTTGGCAAACCAAATATGTTCATGAGAACGATGGACAGCCACACTTAATGATATAATATACACGCAGTTAAACATCCATACTTAAGGAATGTTAACTGGCAGTAGTAAGTAGTTTCATTCAAAATCGGTGCATTTTCTAAAGTTTTTGATTTATGTAATGCCAAAGAGGTGCGGTGTTTTTCTCGGGTTTAATTTACGTCGAATGATATCGTAATTGGACTACATTATCTTAAATTTCTTAATTGGACTATTGATTGTTTATACATAAATGTAGGAACCGTTTCTCCGAAAACTCGAAGAAGCTTACAATCGCGAGTCAATACACCAATGTAAGTGATTCCGAGAAGTCCAAATCTCCAGGGCGTCTACAACAGCGTTGCGCCGTGTAAACAAATCAGTTTCATTGAGTTTAAAATAATTTTAAATGCAATTATTTTATATTAATGTCTATTTGCGTTAAAATATTGAAGTTTAAAATTGCAGTTGATCTTGTGTACCAATCGAAATTTGAACTTAGTTTCGCTAATATGAGTCACATTTCTTACAACAAAAAATTGACTATATATGTAGATATGTATACATGGTATTTTAGCATAACTAGCCTGTACAAGTATACGGACATCGTTAGTCTTGTTTTTCAACGTGTTCCTTTTTAAAAAGCAGGTGATTTTTATGAATCAAAATAAACTCGCCTGTTAGGGTACAGCGCGCAGACTACCAGATGATGATAATGATGATGACGATTAGACACAATCAGAAACCTGATTTAAAAAATTTAAACACGTGTT